TGTGTGTCAGTGTGTGTGTCAGTGTGTGTCAGTGTGTGTCAGTGTGTGTCCGCGTGTGTCAGTGTGTGTCAGTGTGTGTGTCACGTGCGTCACGTGTGTGTGTGTGTGTGTGTGTGCGCACGTGCGTGCATTCTTTCGCGTGAGAGCATGTAGTTGGTTCTGAGGCAAAAGAAGGCCAAGAAGAAGCAGGAAGACGCCGAGCTGCGGCAGCAGGAGGACAGAAACGCGGTCGGAAACCGGGACCCGGAGAGCGTGGAGGACTTCGAGCGCCTCCTACTCACCAAAGGAGACACCTCCATCCTCTGGATTCGCCGCTTTGAAACAGATTATTCTGAGTGTTAATCCATATGAAGCGTTCTCCTTCAGCTGCCTCTGAGGCTACATGGCCTTCCACTTGAAGACGAGCGACCTGGAGAAAGCTCGACAAGTCGCGGAACGAGCTGTGAAGCACGCCCGCCACCGAGCTTCACGTTTTCTCAAGAAATTCTGGGCACACATTGCGCTTGGGTCACTGCGAACCGTGAGGTGGGTTTTGCGGATGGAAAGGAGCGCCTGAACATCTGGGTCGCGTACATGAACCTGGAATGCACCTTCGGGACAGATTCCTCTGCAGATGCTGTGTTCCGCCGGGCCGCCAGCCACAATGAAGCGAAGCAGGCCAGATTCGGCCAGATGCATTTTCGGTGAGCAGATTCCAAGAAGGGCAGGGGCGGCAGGGGCAGGTAAGTGCGGCGGCTTCCGAATTGCGCTGCAGGTCTACCTTCAGCTGGCAAGGATCCACGAGCGCAACAAGAAACCCCAGTTGGCACTCAAAGCATACGAGGCGTGCTCACAGAAATTTGGCTATTCGAAAAAGGTGTGGATTGCTTTCTTGACTTTCCTCTACCAGCAGCTGACCTGCAGTGGCCTACGCGTCTCGCGAATGTATGCCACTGTATGCATGCTTTATCAGAAACAGCTGAGGCAGGGCGATGCAGAGGGAGCCCGAAAGGTTTTTCCGAAAAGCCTAGCAGCCCTGGAGAAGCGCAAGCATCCCCTGCTGGTTTCCAAAACTGCTTTGCTCGAGTACCAGACGCTTTGACCTTCACCAGTTACCAGGGAGAATCAGTGGAAAGAGCATCACGGAAGAGCCCAGCGAGAAAAGACATTCTCAGGGTATGTGAGCTTTTTTTCTGAGTCCCAGGACCGGTTCGCCTGACCGTGGCCGCAGCATCTTTGAAGGCGGAGCTTGCGAAGTCTTTCGGATTCGGCCCGGACTTGACTGCAGAAGATTGCAAAAGCGAGATTGCTCTCCAGGTCTTTTGGACAGTTACCCGAAGCGCACGGACCTTTGGTCAGTCTACTTGGAGCCTTGAAATTGAAAACATATGTCTTTCAGCGGTCTTGGTGTTTTTTTTGCTTTTCGCACTTTGCTTCCTGCTCTGGGCTTCTGCAGGATGCCCACATCAAAGCGTTCACTCCGCCCAAAGTTCCCGAAGCGGATCACGACGAGATCCGCGCCTTGCTTCGCCGCTGTTGCTCCATGTCGCTGCTGAGACGCAACTAGCTTTGTCCCAGGGCCAGGGTTCACTACCAGGGTTGTGTCTGCACTCGCACTCGCTTAAGGCTGAAAGCTACGAAGATGCGATTCTTCTTCAAGCGATGGCTGGACTTTGAAACCCGATGGGGCGATGCTGAAAGCTGTGCGCTCAGAACTTGCTGTGAGGTGCAAGACTCGCGGTCATGTCATGAAGCCGCTTCTTGTGAACGTGCGAGGCTCAAGTTATCTCAAGTTCAGCAAAGCACTTTGGAAGATGCAACACCATGGGTTATTGATTAAAAACCACACATGAGCAGAGCATGAGCAAAGGTGAACTCTCCGGTGCTAATTCTCTTCGTGTAGCCAATCGTTTTTGTTTTTCATTCTTGATGTTGGGCTTTGACAAGTTTGACCGTTTGGTAACTGTTGCTGGGAGGTACTAGCGCAGTCGCTGTTGTATGACGTTCCGGCAAATGGCAGAAGAAACATGCAGGCGCTGACAATCGTCAGAGTCAGTCAGAAGCAACCCTCGGCACGCGCACAGAATGAGGTAGGTTAACTAGACGCGTCCATTAAAGAAAACAATGGCTACATGTCGACACAAAGAAAGAATGCTTCACAAAAATGCACATATTCCATAGGTTACGTACTTAAAACCACGTACTTAAAACCCCTCTCAGAAGCACCCTGGCATGGCAAGTCGGGAGCGATCAGCGTTGACAAGATCCAAGAGTTGCTGAAACCTGGAGTTCCAAAAAACTCCACAGAGCTCTCGAGGCTCTGAGGGCTCACATACGGTATGTCTCACATTGAGCCTTCAAAGTGGTCCACATTGACCGATTACGATGTTGGCGTGAGCTTCCTACTCCTCAGGTTTGCAGAGGACCAAGGAGAGGTCGGAGAGGTAGTCACGGAGACTCTTCTAGATCAAGTGAAGGCAGCGAAGGCACCTGCGAAGTCTGCGAAGGCTGGAAGCTTGAAAACACTTGCGGACTTGCAGAAAGAACTGGGAGCAAGTCAGGACAGACTGGCTCTCGAGATGCTCATATCAGGCTTGCAAAAGCTTGACTCTCCGGATTCTTTGTTTGAACTCTTCCGCAACTTGGAAACCATCATATGCCGGGAACTCGTATCTGCTTCCGTGATGCACTCAAGTGGAGCATTTGGTCAGTTGGCAAGAGGTCTTGTGTTGGCATTCAAACAAACCAGCTTCGAGGAAATCATCAAGTTGTATGATGCTGTGCAAGATTTTGCGCAACAAAGCAATTGCATGGGATGGTGCACAAGTTGCACAGGCTCCACAGTGGAGGTTGAGTCTGCTGGGCAAGCTCTCCCTTTGTCGTTGCCGTCTTTGACTTCCAAAGACATGGTGGCACTGCGGCCTGCGCAGGATGCGCAGGTGACATTTTTGCAGTATGCGAATAGTGTGCAATACAAGTTCGCCGACGCAGCAGCATTTCTGGTGCGATGCTTCCACGATGACCAGAGGAGACTACAAGGAAGATTGCAGGGACGCCCGCAAAACGGGACGGCCTTGGCCATTCATGGGGTTCATGAGATTCACGGGATTCATGGGATTCAGCATGCTGTACTGGGCTTGGCCAACTTGAGCCTGCAGATGCGAAATCTGGAGGATGCTCTCCAGGCCTTGGAGGACAGTATCCGTGCAGCACAGGAGAACTCCGATGCCAACTGCCTGTGCGCCAGCATGTATTTGCTAAGCTTGATTCTCTGCAAAATGCCCAACATGTCCAAAATGTCCAGCATGGCAGCAACACTCCTTCGGCGCTGCCTGTATCGATCAGAAGCCTTAGGACTCCCACTGTTGGAGAGCCTCAGTTGCATGGCTCTGGCAACGATATTGGCCGTGCCGAGCTTCTCTCTTTCCAGGAGCCCTTCTTGCGGCGATTCCGTTTCTGTGGCCTCCAACGGAGCCTCCACCGGAGCCTCCAACGGTGGAGCTTTTGGAGCTCTTCCTCTCGCCTCGCTTTCCTCGCGACCCTCGCCGTCCTCGCCATCCTCGGCCTCGGCATCCTGGGCCTGGGCATTTGTGGGAAAAGTTGGCGCGGTCGGCGCGCGAAGTGGCACTGGCTTGCTCGGGGCTCTCTCGCCTGCGCGAGAGGTGCGAGAGGGGCGAGAGGTTCTGGCACATGTGACCCTGGCATCCTTGCTTTCTACGCAGGCCGGATCCCTCGAGCTACTGCGCCCAAAAGTCCTTCTCTGCCAGGCTGGTGTTTCGCAGGTCTTCGCGCTCAGCTCCTCAGCCATGTGTTATCAGATGGCGCTCGACATCTACAAGAATCGCTTGGCTGCAGATGATCACGCTTTAGCTTTGTGCCACATTGCTGAAGATGCATCACAGACAGAGGCCTTGCATTCGTTCCTGGCGCGGGAACTCCTGTGCTCGCGCCACGTTTGGGTGCACGTAGTTGGCCCAAAGCTCGGCCAGCGCCTGCTGCGTCAAGGACAAACGGCAGGGATTGCAGCAATACTGTTCCAGACTGTTGGCGCTCTTGGTGCACTCGGTGCCTTCAATGCCTTCGACTCAGATGCCAAACTCCGGCCTCAGAAGTTCAACAACGAATGTCGACAACACTGGGGACAGCTCCTTGCAACGTGCCAGTCAGCTCGCGAGGGTCTGGACAAGGGCAAAGATGGCAAAGATGGCAAAGAGGGCCACAAAAAAGAGAAGGAGAGCCTTGGACTTTGTGAGAGTCTGCTGTCTTTAGCAACTTTAGCTCGAGCACTTCAGGGAGCCCCGGTCTTTGCAGTTGCCCCGTGCATCCGGTGCATGACAAAGACGCTTCGGCTCCGATCTTTTCAACCTGAAGCGCTACTCTGCCTTGCGAAGCTCAAGTTGGAGCTTGGTGACGTCTTAGGTGCCCTGCAGCTTGCCGAAGAGACAACAAGCACCATCACGAGCCACACAGATGCCACAGGTGCAGGCGCGCTTGCGCCGTCGTCGGTGCTTGCAAAGGCCGCGTGTTTGGAGGCAGATTGTCTCCTGGAGCTCAGTTCAAGGCAGATAGACTCGATAGACTGTCTAGACAAGAGGAGATCTGACCGTTCTGACCGTTCTGACCACCCGAGCAATACCCGGAAGTGCCTCGACTCGCTCTTTGAGACGGTCTTGGAACGCCTCGGCGTGGCTTTGACGTGTGTTTCTACGACTTCTTCAAGCGATTCAAGCGATTCAGGAGACTCAAGCCAGCAGAGGCGCTGCCACTACCTGATGGCCCGAACGTGCCATGAGCTTGGGAAAAATCTTCAACGAGACAGACATGCCAGTGAGCTTCGGAGACTCACGGAGTCAATGCCGAAGATGGGAGTGACGCTTTATCCGGCGTTTTGAGAAACAAAAGTTGAAGAGACGAGAGATTCTTTAGTTCCTGCAGTTGCCGTCCGTCTTGAAATCTATGTTTTTGCTGACAACAGAGGACAAGAACAGAATGAAGAGGAACATCAAGACAAGCAGCATAACAACAACAACGACGGCAGAGAACAAGGGCAACAACTGCGACGACAACGACCTCGCTCGATCCCACTCGAGACACTACAGTCCAATCCTTGCGTGTCCATTGACCTCGGGGGAAACGGTGTTCGTGGATCATCTTTGGGGCGTTTTGTATTTTATTGGCTGTTCCAACACAGGTAGTGTGGTACCATTCTCGTCACTGATTCATGATTGGACGGCTCGTACGTCTTGGAATGTGGTGGGCACGCCCTCACTTGTTGTACATCCACATGTGCCCGCGCCGCTCATCGCTCCTACCCTTTTTTGGATTGCCCACCTGCACAGGTGGTATTGTGTCTTTCGGCATGGTTTCGGGGCCTGTTGGCTACCACATTGGGGGACGGTCTTGGCAGGGTTATTGCAACATGCGAAATCCAGTCCCATGGTCGTTTTTTCCACGCGGGCAACTCCAAACTCCAGTCTAAACAGTCTCTGAACAAAACATGGTTAATGTAGGACCGTCTTGGACCTGTTTTAGTATTGGCCGCCGCTTTAAAGACATTTTGGCTGGGTTATTCAGGACACCCTGACTGTTTGGGAGTCCCTCCTTAAAGTCAAACGCTCCCCGAAATCCGGCATTTTTTCTTAAGGATTTGGGGCTTGTTTCGGCCCGGAGGCTCCGAATTTGGATGTCTTGGTCTCTTGGCTTAAGGCCGGGCCTTATGATTTTAAAGCTGAACCTTGTGAATTTAAAGGCCGACATCATCCATTCCAAGCGGCCCGAAACCATTGGTCCAGGAGCCCCTCTCGGCCCCGAATACTGGCACTGATTTGGGACCCTGTTTTATGTCAAGGCCCCGGCCCGGAGGCTCCGAATTTGGAAAAAGCCTATGGGTCCCGTTTAAAATTCATATAAACTCATCCAGGATCCCTTTCCGATTCGCACGGATCCCTTCTAAATTCATATAAGCTCATCCCTTTTTATTCATATGGATCTCTTTTGATTTCATATAATCCCAAATTCATATGGATCCGTTTTCAGTTCGCGCAAGCTCATCCCTGGATCCCTTATAATCTATCTAAACTCCTTCTTGTTGAAATCATATAAGATCCCGGGCCCCTTTAAACAGACCAAAATCCAGCCTCGACTGTTCAGGGGGGGGGGGTATCTGGTTGAAGGGGTATAGTCACCTTCCGCGCCCTCTGCGCGCTCCGCGCCCTCTGCGCGCTCCGCGCCCTCTGCGCGCTCCGCGCCCTCTGCGCGCGCTCCGCGCGGTCCGTGCCCTCCGCGCCCTCCGCGCGCTCTCCGCGCCCTCCACGCCCTCCGCGCGCTCTCCGCGCCCTCCACGCCCTCCGCGCCCCTGCCCGGGACACAGTTGACAGTGTGCCGATGCTGAGGGTGCATTGCGTCTATTCTGCGGGTGTTTCCTTTGTAAAGTATTTGTTTGCAAGGCACGCACGTGCAGCATGGCCTTTAAGTGTCCATCTTGGGGGTGCCTTGGACGCTTAACGTCTATTCTGCGCGTGCTCTTTGTTTTGTTGGATTCTTCCCGAAAACCTCTCTGGAATTGGGGTCGGAAGATTTGGCTGGGAGAGGGGCATGGCATGGGGAGGCGTGGATGCGATTGACGGACGGGTTCGGGGGGGCGAGGACAAGGAGGGGGGAGCGCGGACGGGGAGCGTGACATTCGGTTGATGGGCAAGGGAGTGGGGGACACGTGGACAAGACAAGGGGTTCAGCGCGTGATTTATCTGGTTGAAGGGGTATAGTCACCTTCCGCGCCCTCTGCGCGCTCCGCGCCCTCTGCGCGCGGTCCGTGCCCTCCGCGCCCTCCGCGCGCTCTCCGCGCCCTCCACGCCCTCCGCGCGCTCTCCGCGCCCTCCGCGCCCTCCGCGCCCCTGCCCGGGACACAGTTGACAGTGTGCCGATGCTGAGGGTGCATTGCGTCTATTCTGCGGGTGCGTTGCGTCTATTCTGCGGGTGTTTCCTTTGTAAAGTATTTGTTTGCAAGGCACGCACGTGCAGCATGGCCTTTAAGTGTCCATCTTGGGGGGGGGGGGGGAGGGGGGGGGGGGGGGGGAGGGGGGGGGGGGGGGGGGGCCCGCACTAAAGCAGGTCCAACATTAATGGAGACCGGGTCACCAGACCGCCCCAAGGCGCGCAAATGTGCCTCCAAGGCTTCCAATTCCTTCCAAGACACTCATGTAAAGACCGTGAGGTCCTCGAATCCGCGCTGCAAAGCCTTCTTCTATGCTGAAAATTCGTGCGCACAGCGGTCTTCGAATTCGCAGACCCTCGCAAAGTCAGTCAGTGGTCTCACGATTAGAATTTTAACAACACGAGAGTCTATACCTTAATCACCCATCCATTCCCACCATTAGGCCCCCGCCAGGGGCCGGAACACGCCCCAGAGACTTTCCCTCATTCTCAATTGACAAAAGAAGAGCAGACAGGAGGTTGTTGCTTGACAAGCACTCTCTGCACATTGCGAATGTGTGGTGATGCTTGGTGAATATACTTGGACAGTATGCAAAGCTCACTGACCATGCCGGCAGGTCAAGAGCAAGTACGTTCGAAGGCTCGTGAATACGTGGAAAGCCAAGCCTAGCCGGAGCGATGGCAGTGCTGAACTGCCGCCGCGGCATGGATTGAGTTGGAGCGTGCGTTCCAGAAAGTCCGATACGTCCGATTATTCGACAGTTTGCAAGAAGCTCAATGCACGTGACAGCATGTACTTGGGCTACTGCGCCACGCGGCCACAAAATCTTGTGCTCGTGAGGACTAAATAAAGCTAGAGGCAAGCTCCAACACAGGCGTGCTCCGCGCACGGACCGCACACAGACAAGAGAAGCACAAAATGCAGCCTACTTAATAGCCTGCTACTCCGACTACATTGAAAGAGATTGATGCTCTTTAGCTTTGGCCTAGCAATGCCGCCTGAACGCCGGCATGAGGCGCCGCTTTGACTTCAGCTCCGCTGAGCGACTGAGCGACTGAGCGACTGACGAGGCGCACCGGGAGCGTGCCTTTGTGGACACCTTACTGGCCGCCCTCTTCGAGAATGCGAGGGCCCAGACCGAAGTCGGGCACTTGGACCTCAGTTAAGAGACATGAGACTGGCATGAGACCACGAGGCCTGATTCCTGCGTGATTCCTGCGAAGCTGGTGCTCACATTGTTTCGGCATGGCACACTTTCTCTGGAGGTCGATGGCAAACGTGGCATGCTGCTTAGATCGGCTCAACAAGCCATGGAAGTATGTATACGAGAATACTGTGTGTGTGCAGGAAGTATGAAAATGAGCAATTGCATACAATTGCATAAACATTTTGAGAGCAAACGGCTTTGCGAGGACCGGTGTGGGAGACTCCGTGGCAGGATTTGGACCCGATGAGGTTCAAACTCCACGAGTTGGGGGACAGCTTGAAAAAGTACGGGTGCCTTGCCCGCCTTGGCCTCTCACACGCTCCTCTTGTGATCGCCTTCCAGAATTGTCGTCTTTTTTCTTTTTTTTGTTCGCGAGCTGTAGTGCTAAAAGGCGTCCGTGGGCTAGCATGCTCTGTGTTTGATGCTTGAGATGGCCACCTCCACTTCCGACCCGCGAAGCCCATAGATTTCGGATGTCCAACATTGTACGAATTCTTTTTTTTAGTAGGGAGCCCGTTAGGGTTTGCGGTCATTAAGACGGAGACTTTTCCTTGCCTGCCTTGCGCAGCGCTTTTGAATTGGCGGGCGACTTCTCGAGAAATAGGGACGGTTATAGCTGTGGATGCTCCAACCGTTGCATAGTTCCGGTTGGGCCGCAGTAGATGTTTTTTCCTGCGTCCGCGCTCCGCCCCCCGATGCTCTGCATGGTAGCCCCGTCCCCCTCCAACCCTAAACCCTTGTTGCTATTCAGATACGCGGGCGACAACAAAAAAACCCTTGTTGAATGGCTTTCAAACCACAGCGCCACAATCGAAGATTGAAATCATGGCTGAGGGGAAAGTCTTAAAAATAGCAATGCGCATGTACTGGTTTTTGCAGAAGTGATCGATGTGCATGTGCAAGACCGGCGGGACTTGTATCTACAGCACTGCGGTTGATCCCTTGCATTCATACGATGTGGAAGGTTGGCGTGGCGCACACTGAAGACATCGGATATTTCTGCGCTCCTCTATGAGGCGCCAGGCCTTCATGTCCAATTCCCCTGATCAGAGGAAAACTATAATTAAATGGCTGCGTATCTTCCCATTTCATGTGCACCAAGTATCCCCATGACTCCAATTACTGTTCCTTTTCATCCACGTACACGGCTACTCCATCAAAAGCAGATCACGGCCCCACAACTAGGAACTCGTGGTGCGCGCCAAAATTTTGGGCGGCTGAACAGGCAATTGCATGATCACCTTCGCCTTTCCATTCGGAGTCCCTAAGAAAGCCGTTACCACATCACGCGCTCCGATTGGACCACGAGTTCTTCATTGCCAGGATGAGATGAGAACCGTTGACGATCGTTGACGACGGTTGACGACTTTGCGGGAACTCGGCTTCTGCAGGATGTCTCTTGGCGGCGGCTGCGGGAGCGGTGTGGAGAAGTGCTGCTTCCGTTTGTGAGACTCGCGCTTATGGCCGGTTTCGGAGCGGCTGGCGGCTGACCGACGGCTGGAGGGTGGAGGTCTTCGTCTTGGCCAAGAAGGATGGATGCCTCCGCATGCTGGTGGAGTGCAGGCCGTCTACTACCACTGGCTTGACTTCGCTACCGCTCAGGTTCTCACCCGCATCGATCTTGAAGACAGCCAAGGGCAGTTGCACATTGCAACAACAAATCTTACGGATGCCGGAGCATCTCCATCTCTCGCAACGCCCTCTCATGTGTTCATGTGTTCACTTTCTTGCATGTCCGGCTCTAAAGTTTCGAGGGTGAGGAAGGATTCTGAGACCCATTTTGTCTCGGTTTGGGGAGAGGAAACAAAAGTGTGGGGACGGGTTCGTCCCGGGCCTCTGTTAAGAGACCATGGTCCCGGCCACTCGGAGAAGAGCGCTCTCTCACAGTTTTTGCTGCTTTTGCACGGCTGGGCGCAGCGATACAACGGGGCCCGTCTGCCTGGCTTGACTCTGGTATTCCTGGAGGGTCACAGCCCGGGCTCCGCAACCTCTCTGCCCACTAAGTGGGCGCACTGCACCGCCTCCACTTACTCGGAAGAGGAGTCTCGAGAAGGCTCCAGGCCAAGGGTCAGAAAACTGGGAAGTTGGAGGTTCAAGGCCGTGTAGCTGAGCGCGAGCCAAGCAAGCTGCAGTTGAACACCCAATTTCACTGTGGCCGATGGACCAGTCGGTCAGCAGTGTACCAACATGCTCACGACGGAGCCTTGCTGCATGTTGAAGACAATCCAGGGCCCCTGGTTCCGTGCCGTTTCTTTTGGTGCCTACACTGCTACACCTCCACGCATGTCATGTTTACCCCGCAGTTTCATGCACGTCCGCGATGCACACGAGCTCAGATAGCTGCTCCGGACGCGCTGCGCCTTCAAGACGCGCAATGATGAAATGATGTCTTCCACGGCCCATAGCAGCGCCTTGACCCCAATGGTCGTTTACCAGCCCATTTCCCGAAAGCCGAATCCGGCTCTTGTTCCAGAGTGCCCATGAGGTGTAGCACCTGTGCTTCTTGCAACGCGAAACGTCTTGCGTTCACATCAATGAATGTCAGGGCAATGTGGTGTCTGACATTTGTTGACCACGTCATGCTCGATCGCACTCCTGCTGGACACTGCCCGAGCAAACGCATCTGCCAGACTCCAACGAACTGAGATTAGTGCCGGCCGCTGACTGTTTAAAAGATATTCGGGGCTTCGCAAAGTTCAAGTTGACTTATTGACTTTAAAGTCGAGAGAATCCAAGGAGGATCGAAGCCGAGCTTGAGATTGAACCGGGAGCGTGCTGTAAACTGCATGTGCAGGCTTCATGCTGTGCATAACTCCCAGCGAGAATTTCGGGTGTCATGTTACAAGTCGTTTTTGCGGCTTGGTTGAGGGTTCCTGAAAAATGCGGCGGTCCTTCTCAAGCACGAAAGCAGACAGGACTTGCATGGTAGCTCAGATGGAAGAACGCAAAATTCCCAGCAAAAATCTCTGTTTCGGAGGGCTCCCCCCCTGAAAGCAACACGCGGCTAACTTGTTGAGTAGCTGGTTTGTTTTTGTACTGGTGCCAAACTGGTTCCCCATTCAGCTAACTTAAGAAGCTAGAACATGCGCATGCGCAGCAGATCAGTTTGGTTCTTTGCGTATGCCGGCTGCTGCATACTCCGATGACAACTCCTAGCATCGAATGCGGAAAACTAACGAAACAAGGCCAAGAATCTCGGTTGCTGGGCATAGGCGTAAAAAAAAACCCAATAAGCATCAAAAAGAAAAATAATAGGGATCAATAAAACAAATAATCGGGATCAAACAAAAAATAAGCCATCCGGCCCACCTGCGTGGTCCTCTGGTCCCGTGGTCCTCTGGTCCCGTGGTCCTCTGGTCCCGTGGTCCTCTGGTCCCGTGGTCCTCTGGCCGTGGTCAACTGTTCCCGTGGTCCCCTGGTCTTGTGGTCCCCTGGTCCTCTGGTCCTCTGGTCTGCTTGTCTGTCCGCCTGGTCCTGCGGGTCCTATGTGTATAAATACAAAATTAAATTAAACAAAGAAATAAAAATCAATAAAGATGAATATATATATATATATATATATATATATATTATATACACACACGATAGTGAAGGTCAACGTGTGTGTGTATATATATGTATTTATGTATGTATGTATGTATGTATGTATGTGCATATATATATATAATATATACATATTACATAATACACATTACATTACACATTACCTATTATATATATTATGCATTATACATTCTATATTATATATTATATCTTATATATTATATATTATATATTATACATTATATAATGTATATTATATATTATAATGCATTATGTATTGTCTATTTTGTATTAATTATGCATTATGAATTATATGTTATGTGTTATGTTTTATGTACTATGTGTTATGAATTATATATATATATATATATATGTATATATTTTTTTATTTTTAAATTATGTATTCTGTATTATGTATTATGTCTTATGTACTATGTAATATATATTATATATTATATATTATATATTATATATTATATATTATATATTATATATTATATTTTATATTCTATATATATGATATTGCATATTATATATTATATCATATATATATATATATCATGTATATATTATGCAAAGAAAATTGAAGTTTTTTGCTTAAAACATGTAGAAGTAGAGTTTTTCCGATGGAAACATAGAGATAATGGAGGATTTCTCATGAAAACGTGAAGACATTAGACGTTTTCTTGTGGGAGTATGAAGAAATAGCGGTTTTCCCATTGAAAGATCGAGAAAATAGAAGGTTTTCCAACCACTACCACCACTTCTACGCATCGTGCGAACATTGTTTGCAAATGGGGGGGGGGCTGCGCCCCCCCCAACCCCCCCGCTGTTTTTTTGAGCTGTGCAAAGCGTGCTGCAAAGCCAAGTGGGGGGGGGTGGGGGGGGGGGGGGCTGCGCCAACCCCAACCCCCCCGCGTTTTTATCAAGCTGTGCCACTGCAAAGCGTGCTTTATGAATCTTGTTGAAGCCATTGGGATACTAAAAAGTTTAAGTTTTCTTAAAATATATGGAAATAAAGGTTTTCCGATGGAAACATAGAGATGATAGAGGTTTCCTATGAAAACGTGAAGAAAATAGAGGTTTTCTTGTGGGAATATGAAGAAATAGAGGTTTTCCAATAAAAAAAAGGAGAAAATAGAAGGTTTTCCAACCACTACCACCACCCACTACTACCCATCGTGCGAGCATTGTGTTTGCAAATGGGGGGGGGGCTGCGCCCCCCCCCCCACCCCCCCCTCCCCCCCCCGCTGTATTCCAAGAGGAAAATGGGTTTTTTTTTTGATGCTTATTCATTTTTTTTGATCCCTTGGGGTTGTTTTTTTTTGAGGCTTATTTGTTTTTTTTGTTGATCCTCCACCCTCGGTTGCTGCCGTTTCACAAGCTGCCTTGGCTGAACTGCTAAGGTCCCATGGCCTTGCTTCGCTCATCTGCGAGCTGAGCCTCGTAATTTGGCAGTTAAGAGCTTCTCGGCTGCGTGGCAGAATACACACATTTGGTCGCTTTCGACCGTCGCTTTCGACCGTCGCTTTCGACCGTCGCTTCCTTTCTCACCACCGCGTCAGGCATGGTTCACGATCGGGGCGGGCTTGCTGGCCAGGACCTTTGTAATGCTTCTGTCCGATTCCGTTGTCTTTGATCTGGCTTGGTGTCAGACTTTTCTTTGAGTCTTTCTTCTTTTGATCTGAGGTGATTGAGGTGTTGAAGCGGATCTCAGAGATGGCACACCGTTTGCCTTCTCCGGACGGATTGGATCCTGGCCTGGCAGCACTGAGGGTCATCGAAGGACGCGAGAGCTCGAAGAGTAGCAAAACATAGAGACATATAGAGACATAGAGGTGCCTTGAAGATCCTTGAAGATACCTGTAATTTCAATATCCGCAGGGACGGACGAAGCTAAGCCACCTAGAGCCCGAGAAACAGGAATGCACGACATTGTATGTCCCGTGCGCAGTGCGCATGCCGTGGTCGAAATGACGCTCCCGGGGACCCGTGTGCTCTTTAAGCTTAAGTGAAGTGCAGAACTGTCGTCGCTTCTTCGAAGATCCTTCCTCGCGAAGCACAGCTGTGAGTGCATCGAAGCGCGCACTTCCCGTGACTTCCAATGAGTCCGTGAGTGCGCCTTGTAGAGCGCAGCAGCAGGTGCCCTGGATGGTGCCCTGGATGGTGCTCTTGTGACACGTTATTTGCCATCCGTCGTTGTGACACTGCTTGGCACTGTTTGGGTCTATGCTGGCATAGTACGGAGAGCATTTTTCTTGGTGCTCGGCGAGGATTCATTCTGTTCTGTGCTGCTCGACATAAGCGAATGCGGAAAGATGCTGTCGCCGCCCTGGAACGCATTTTGTTAAAGAAGAGGCTGCCGCCTTGCACTACGGCGGCTCGGTTCGGTCTTAAGTGATCTTCGCACATGAGCGGATTGTGGGGTGTGCCATCAAAGCCGAGCTGAAGAGGTGCGCATCGAATCTGCCCTGGTTAGCGTTGGCTGGCAGAAGATAACTCAACCACTGCTCAGCGACATGGCCGGAGCAACTTGCCTCAACGTGTTTCATTTCTGCTTGCAACGGGCTTTGCCACGAAGCTGTTACGAAGCATGGCAGCTCTTCTCCTGAAAAAAATGTTCAAAAGGACGGGTGCAATGGATTCCAGTATCTACTCCGTGCAATTGCGGGTTCATCAGTGGTGGAGCTTATGCAAAATATGGAGTTTAATGGAGTTTAGTCAAGCGTCCCCTGTTCGGGGGCCGCGACCATGCGACATCATGCGACCATGGCTGCCAGCTGTCCGAATCCCACGTCACTGGCACACCCGGCTCAAGGGAACGTTAAGGGAGCGATGAAGGAAGTGCTGGCGGCCGCTGGCGACGAAGACCTGCACTGCGCAAGCATGCGAACGCTGCAGCCGTAAAGGTCAAAATGTGAATAGAGAAATGAGATGAAATGAGGAAATGAACGGGTAAGTGTGCATCTACAAAGTCGGGTGAAGGACAGGATTCCAATTTCAATAAGCAAGCCACCAGTGTGACCCGCAGCTTTGATGGAAATAGAGGCATGACCGCCATACTTCTCGTCATAGAGATGATCGCAGTGAAACGATGATTCCCGAGGTTTGCAGATAGTCATGTTCATTTGCAGGGATGGGCCTAGCGACTTCCTCAAGTGGGATTCAGTGGGATGGGGGGGGGGGGGCCGGGTGGCGGTGGGCGGCCTCGAACTGAAGAGGCAGAGGGGTCTCTGTGGCTCGTCCTGCTGCTGGTGCTTGAAGCGAACCCAGTACTAGCCGTGAATTATTCATCGTCATGGCTGCCCACTATTCACGTCGTTGCAGTTCCATCACGGGGGGCTGCGCAGCGCGACGCGCAAAGGTAACAAAGGGAATATATGTGGTGGGCATAAGAAATTAGCATGGAAGTACAACTACGTACACTTTTGGCGTATGTGAACATGGCAAACTAAATCTTGAGCCCGCTCTGCAACGCTTGAGGTTCAAGCGCTTTTTGTAGCAACACGAAGTATCTTCGCAGCCGCCTGCTTGTGCTGTTTCCCTCTCCCTTGCCTGCAAAGATCGCAATCTAGCTGAACCACAGCATGAAACCGGTTGGGCAGGGAATGAGTTACAACAGTCCTAGCTTTTCCTTATCTATGTCGATCGGACTCGGCCGGTTGACAGGGATACTATGACCCGGATTGCAGCAGTTGACACCTGCAATTTGTTTGTATATTGACAAACCGGTTCTCCATCATCGGCCTCTTGGCATTGTGGGCAGATGTTTCATAGAGTGCCGGAGTCGATGCAAGTCGATGCAAGTCGATGCAGTACATAATCTGTACAAGCGTCAAGTTGCGCATCTTGTCGCCGTCGCGCGCCATCAGGCTGAAGAGCCAAGAGCAGTGGTGCGATGAGAACTGTTGCAGAGTGTTTTGTGAGATGTTTGTTTAACCATTAAACCCATAAAATCAGCAAATCACTTGAGATTCATCTAGGAAGACTGGCTGAATGAGCTGGCGGTGGCTTTGATGCCGAATGCAGAAGCAGAAGCAAAGATGGAACGAACAAGGCATTCGCGGCATGCCCTTCTCTTGGCATTTGGGAAGTAGGACATGTAATAACTTTAATAACAGATGTTCTTCATGTCTCATACCGTTGCACGTGACACAGCCTCGGCCAGGGAAATGTTCGAGGGTGTGGTGCAAAACCTTTTCCCTGGCGCACGGTGCGAGCTCCTCCTGCAAAGAGCAGCCTGCACAGATACCTAGTTCGTACCAAATTTGCATGCTGCAAGGACTATTTCGGAAGCGCCGTGAATGGCTTCGAAACGCGGTTGAGTGATATCGACGCGGTAGTCGTTTTCAGCAAGGAGGATATGGAGCAATTGTCCAACGGCCATGGTCGACTCACGTTCAGCCCCAAGTGCATTTGCAAAGGGTCGTGAGCGGACGGACGTCTATATATGGTTCAGCGTCGAGCGTCCTGGGCCCCCCCCCCCCCCCCATGGTATCCCCACCCCCCCACCCCCATGGTACTCTACGGTTAAACCCTCAACCTCAACCCTAAACCCTAAACCCTAAAACCCCTAAACCCTAAACCCTAAAACCGAAACCCTAACCCTAAACCTTAAGTCTTAAACCTTAAACCCTAAACCCTAAAACCCTGAACCCTAAACCCTAACCCTAAAACCAACCCCCAACCACACCACAGGGGGGGGGGGATCATCTTAGTACCCCATCCGCTGGGAAAACCCATAAACCCTAAACCCTAAACCTAAAACCCTAACCGTAAACCCTAAAACTAAAACCTAAACCCTAAAACCCTAAACCTAAACCCTAAACCTAAACCCTAAACCCTAAAACCTAAAAACCTAAAACAAAAACCCCAACCACACCACAGGGGAGGGGGGGGGGGTACCATGGGGGGGGGGGGGGGGGGGGGGGGGGGGGGGGGGGGGGGGGGGGGCCCGCCGGGGCTGAATCATATATGCCATTGTGGCTGCCGAGATCTGCAGCATCATCGCCGGCTCTGAAGGCAGCTTCCCCATCCTTGAAGGGAATGGCATTGTCCAGGCCTGTTTACTCCAGAGAACGCCGCACCCGAAAAGCAACCGAAAAAGCACCTTCTGACGCACCAACCGCCGCAGGCGTTTGCAGAAGGAGAGCGCTGCCATTGCTGTCCGAATGATGGGCGAGGCCTTGGTGGCGAATGAGGCAAGCTACGATAGTACAAACTTGACCGTCCGCTAGGAGCTAGGACCGCCCAGTGCAACAGCTAACACAGCGTAACAAAGCAGTTTGATTGTGCCCGGCTACGTAAAACCGGATGGTACTCTCACATGGTTCCTTCCATTGGCAAATTGTGAACCTGTCAGGACTGGGGCTTCGAAGTGAAGGAGATGGTGACAGAAGCAAGGGTTCCGGTGTTGAAATGCACTAGCACGGAAGGGGTAGCAATCGAGCCTTGCAAGTGTTAAGCACATGCTGTGCAACACGGTGGTGACAGCTTACGCATGGGTTTCTGCCAAATGGCCAAGGATATCACCTTCAACAATCTCTTGCCGCTGTACAACTCTAAACTGCTGAAGGCTTATGCAAGCTTCGACGATCGTGTAGCGCGCTTGGGGCGTCTGGTGAAGTTTTGGGCGAAAAGCCGGATGCCTGGCAGGTATTAGTGTACTGAGGGTGGGTCGATGTGGGTATCGGTGGGGGTGGAGTCTCGTAGTTTCATGCCAGGATGGTGAATGATGCCTTGGAAGGGACTTTGTCTTCCTATTCGCATTGCTTGCTTCTGATACATTTTCTCCAGAGCATCGCTCTGCTTCCGAACCTGCAAGACAAAGAAGACAGCGGCATTCCCGATGAGGAGCGTGCCAAGCTTGGTGAAACTGAGCTTTTCGAAGGTGTGGCTTGCTCAGGTCTGTTAACGCTTCGTGTTTTTCCCCACGAACATTTTTGGAAAGCTTGCTTCGTGTTTTTGCATTTGTGAGAGCAGTCTGAGGTAATGCTCTGAATTTGCGAATGTTGCTCTAAGCATTGCTCTATATTCTAACTGCGAAGGTACACGATGTGTGGTTCTTGGATCCCGGCCGCCTTCCCCAAAATTCGGATCGCTGGAAGGAGTGGGCCTCGAAGTCTCCCGCAGGAGCCACCCTAAGAGGCTTGCTGCTTGCCTGACTTGCAATGATCCGTGTGGTGTGATACGTGTCCTGCTGGGCGTTTCAGATTCTAGGGATTCTAGGGGTTCTGGTTCTTTCACAGTGGTCTGTGCTGTCTGAAAGTCTGAAAGGGTGACCAGGGTGTGGTGTCTTCGCAAGTGCGGTTTCCGAGCCGACTTGAGCTCTCTGGGCTGCTCTGGGCTCTCTCTGCTCTGAGTTTCAAGGCTCGAGCTGGAACCCGGCCTTTGCCGCCTTTTTGGCTTTTTGATGCTTTTTGGCTTTTCTGGGTGCCCAAGGGGGAAATGCCGGAAATGCTGCCCGACTTTCTGGGCGCCGGAGACCGGGCCTGTGCTTCTGGCTAAAACATGGGCGCCTGTTCGAAAATTCTCGCGAAAAAATCCACACTTGTCAAGCGCTTGGTCCTCGTGTATACTATGTTATACTTGTCTAGTACTTGTCTGTTGCGTGGGCCGTATAGTGCCTGCAGGCATACTGACGTCAATTTAATGTGTACAATGCTCGTGGCGCTGCAGAGGCAAGACCATGCCATCCAAGGCTGGCCAACTTCTTTTGGTATTTGGCCTACGAAGTCCCGGCCCACTCCGATGTCCTGAGTATCCGCCTGCCCTCTCGGATCCACAAGGAGGTGTATTTCACAGACATGACCCTTTGCCTTTGACTTCGTTAACTTCGTTAACTCCGTTTCTTCAGAAGAAGAACTTCTTGCGATCACGAAAGGGGCTAGAGGATGCGGCAGGGCTTGAGTTTTGGGATAAGCAGGGCTCCCTGCCAAGAAACAAAATTCGAGCTAACGATGGGCAGCCGGGGGCTGGCCCAAGCGAAGGCACAGCCAAGCTTCCATGGCCATAAACTTGCCACATCATGAATCATGGCCGCAGCCATGAGTTTTGAGGCTGATGAGAAAGCAGGCTTTGGGGCAGGACCCCGTTGAGCCTGCTTTGGAACCTCTTGATCACGCTGGAGCGGCTCAGATGCATCCCCCAGCATTTCAGCATTTTCAGCATTTTCAGCATAACCGTATCAGTGGCATGATCAGTGCGTAAGGTCGCTGATGCATGCGAGGAGAATCGGCCCTGTGCAAATCAACCACAACTTCTCTCCCTGATATCATTGCAGGACGGGCATCTGGGTGAAGAGAAGGAGCCAGAGCCCGAAGAGCCTGAAGAGCACGAAGAGCATGAAGACGATGACGGAGAGGACAGAACATGGCGGGCCTCAGCCTGTAAGCCTGTAGAATCAAACAGTTGAGCCTAGTTGAGCCTGAGTACTCTGAGTACTCTGAGTACTCTGAGTACGACTTGAGAATTTCTTAGAACAGGACCTTCTCGAAGCCGAAGTTACCAGCGAGGAGCCTTGGAAGGCCAATCTGAGAAGTGCAAGTGCAGCTAGCGGCTCCTAGCGGCTCCTAGCGGCTCGCATTGTTCGGAAGATTTTTTGCCATGAAAAGCATCGAAAAAACTGCGCATCTTGGAGGACCTGGCGCAGAAATACAAGCTTACCGCAGAACAGCAGGAGCTACAGCAGGCGATGTCCACCCGCCAAACACTTTGCATCGACGATCCCATGGAGCTCGGCCGTTCCTTAGGCCCCTGCACTGAGCTGGGTGAACCTGAAGTGGGGGAAGACATGGGAAGACCGAAACCAATTCAAGCAGAAACTTGAACGTGGGCAGGTCGCGTGTGATGGCGTTTGTCATCGGGTGTACAGTGTAGCTTTGTAGTATAACTCGAAGACGCAGATCCCGTTGGAGCGAGGGCGTGAAGCGTACAACCAAATATGTGCCCATCATACTTAAGCCTCGAAAAAGTGCACGGGACCGAGGCAGGATGTCCGAAGGACTAGTCGGACTAGGCCTAGGCGAGGGCGTGACACTTTTTCCTCCAAACCTTGCATTGCACCAACAACCCCGAACCTGCAATCAAAGCCCGCCCTGGGCGACAAACGCGATGCAAAATTGGAGGACCCGAGCACAGTTGACACAAAGCTATATGTAGAGCCAGACCACTGCTGTAGTGTTTTGCGACGCATGCCTGGCATAGTTGTCGCTTTGAGGTGCGAGCTTTCAGGGCTTCGAGCGTTTGTGCTACGAGTGGAGGCACGGTCCGGAGCACAAAGAGTACGTTTGAGCAAATTCACGATAAGAGCACCATTGCAATCCCGAAGTCCCGAAGTCCCGTGGAGGCGGGCGCACTACCTCCTCTCGGAAGGAAACAGCGGAAATGGCGATGACATCCAGCGATTGAAGGAACTGTTCCGCCGCTTGGGTGTTCTGAAAGCGCCACAAAAATGTAGGGCAATGCACTTGCAAGATTCCGGAAAGTCCAGTGTAAACAGTGTAAGCTTTTTTTGCGTTACCCCTTTAAGTGCCGAGGTGATCGGCCACCTCCGCCCCGGTCCATCTACAACTTGGAGAAGCAGCGGGAGTTCCCGCACTTGATCGAAAGGGCGGAAAGGGACAAGAGGCCGAAAGGGAGCGGAAGCCACGGAAGCCACGGAAGCCGCTCCTGGTACGGGTCCAGCCATGGGGAGCGGCACGGGAAGGGAGAGCCGAAGATGTCCAGCTGGACACAAGGCATTGCGCAAGGCCTTGCGCAAGGCACACAAGGTGGAGTGCAAGCGATGCAAACGATGCAAGGTGTCACGCAAGGCGTGCAAGGCGTCACACAAGGTGGCTGGCCCACCCCGAAGATGCCCAACGTGCCCTTTGAGAGCCCCTACGCAAGGCGAGCTCAGAAGGGAAGCCCCCCTTCAAGGTGGGCTCAAGCTCAAGTAGCTCAAACAGATTTTGGGAGGGCGAGCGCAAAGGAAGGGGATGTCAAAGGAAAGGAAGGAAAAGAAGGAAAGGAAGCAAAAGGCATCAAAGGCCATGCGGAGGGCAAAGGCTTGTGGCAGTGACGGGCGAGTTGCTATCGAAGCCCAACCCTGCGGAGACTATGGCATACTGCCATCGTCCGCCGGATGGTCGATTTGAAAAGCTGCGTCTACGGAGTCTACGGCATGCACTACGTGCAGTACTCCTTCCCTGCTTCCCTTTAGCACGCAGTGACTATCAGTGCTTCGCCTGCTTCGCTTGCAGTGACTGAGCAGTGGCTCCGCAAAGCCCGGCGCGCTGTGGGCGTTGCATTGAAAAAGAAGGCTCCAGCTGCACTGAAGTTTTTGAGTTCTCAACTATGCTGGCTTGATCGAGACACTCAGAAAAATATCATTCATGTGACGTTTTGTCTTTACACCGGCGAAGATCCCAAAACAGTGTAGACCAGAGCCAGAAAGGTGAAGTTAGCAAAAAGCATGAATCAAAAATGAGGAAGGGCGGCAAGGAAAGTAAGAGCCACCCTAAACGATCACCCCACATTATCCGCAGGCGTCTGAGCAAAAGGGCAACCTGACAGATGGACTCAGTTGCCACTCCTGAACGAGCACAGCAAACATGGACGTAGCAAAGCGGCGTTTTTTCCAAAACGACTTGCACCTCATCTGTTCCATTCTGTTCCTGTGGCTCCGGCGCTTTTTGCCCCTGACAAGCGAACCAGCCGTTAGCGGCGAACGCTGCGATCTTGCAATGAAAGACACCCAGCCACACAAGAACTTCCGCTACTCCATTTGCTTATTGTCTGATGATATAGGGTTCAAATTTTCCGACATCCCACGATGCTTGGTATCCCACGATTTTGGGGATAATCTGGTTAGTGTCCCAAATCAGGTAGGGTCCAAGTTTGCTTAGCGTTTGGCTATTTATCGTTGAGTACCCCATTATATCGGGTCTATTTTTGCTCAATGTCTCATTGTAAAAGGCCAAAATTTTAATGCTACGCGACCCGCCTCGGCCCGGCCCAGCGAAGCAATAAGGGTTGGGTTAAGGGTTTACTGTAGGGTTCCAGGTTTGTGGTGTAGGGTTGAGGGTTAGTTTAGGGTTGAGGGCGGTTTACGGTTTTGGGGTTTAGGCGGTTTATGGGTGTGGGTTTAGAGTGCAGGGCTCAAGGTTCAAGGTTCAGGGTTTAGACAGTTCGGTTTGGGCAGGATTCTTGGGTTTTTTCACCCTCTCTAAAATTGTCCTGGGACCCACACCAGCTCACGGGGGCAGGATAGGGAAGGCAGGGGCGAGAGGGGGGGGGGGGGGGGGGGGGGGGGGGGGGGGGGGGGGGGGGGGGGGGGGGCAGAGGGGGCAGCAGGGCAGGGCAGGGGGGGCAGCGGGGGGTCGGGGGGGGGCAGGGGAGGGGCGGTCGCTTACGGGGGGTACCTTGGGCTCACCATTTGGCATCTTACTATGTAGGATCGAACTTTGCTTCGTATCTGAATGAATCTTGGGATCACGAAATGATCTGTCTTTAAGCATGTTGAGGCATAAATCTTATGGAGAAGCAGGTGGTGCAGGCGACATCTGCGCTCCAGCGTCTCAATACTGCTAAGGCCTAAATCTACGCAAATAGCAACTGCCCAGCCTTTAAGAGTAGACTTTTTAGACTTTTTGTTCTGTTTGGTTTCCCTTCTGTGTAATTTCAACCGTCAAGGTCATTGCCCCCTATTTTGTTAGGGCAACGATGCAATGTCGCACTCAAACAAACACACACACACACACACACACACACACACACACACACACACACACACACACACACACACACGCACACACACACCACACACACACACCACACACACACACCACACACACAC